GGGGGGGGGGGGGCATGGTTGGCCTGGTTCAAGAGAATCAGAATTTTGATTTCATAAGCAACCCACCTTGAAAGTGCTTGTAACCTTATAAAGCAGCACCTCAGCTATCAGAGAAAGTTTGTGATACAAGCAAACGATAAAGTATGAAACAGAATAGCTTCATTTGGCAGCCTTCTGTTTCTTCGTAGCCATTCCATTTATGATTCACTCCCGCTCTACTCTCTTGTTGCTGAATTAATCTCCCTTTATAAATTCCGTTCTCTACGTACCATTTCTTTTGCACTGTACAGAAGCAAAGAATTCATATAGACAGAGAAAGAGAGTGTTGCTGTATAGGTTGGTAACATTTATACAGAGGAAGGAGAGGGAAGATGTCGGATTGGGGTCCGGTGTTTGTAGCGGTGGTGCTGTTCGTGCTGTTAACACCAGGTTTGCTAATTCAGGCACCTGGTCGCAACCGATTCGTTGAGTTCAGCAACTTTCAAACAAGTGGTGTGTCCATACTGGTTCACTCTGTTGTCTACTTCGCCCTCATGTGTATCTTCCTATTAGCCATTGGAGTCCACTTATATATGGGTTCCTAGTAAGCCATTTCCTTTTATGCTTTTCTGGTTGTGTCATGGGTGGTTGTCATTTGTCTTGTGTCGTTACGTTGGTTTTGGCTTGTGCTTCCATAACAACTTATGATGTGATCTGATGTATAATCTATTTTGAGAGCTCTTGTTTTTACGTAATTGCTCTCTTTTTACTCGTGTGAGATGTATGATCTGATGAGAATTAAGACATAATAATATTCACTATGTGCTTCCCTCTTTTTTTTTTTTTTTTTTTTTTTTTTTTTTTTTTTTTTTTGTTTCTTGTAATAGAAACAGTGCAAAATGAAATAGCTATTCATCTGTTTGTGGTCGTGATGACAGAACTATGACTTTTCAGCCACCCAAGCAGAGGAAAAAGGGAGGAAAAAAGGGGATTGGTTAAGGATTTAAAACGACAAAATTTGAATGTTTCCGGAAATCTGCAAATAGTGATGGCCAAATGAATATTAGCGGGTCCCTAGATTTATCAAGATAAAAAAGTTTTTGTTATAAAATAAAGATTATAAAGTAAATGATCAAAGACAAGTACAGTGAGAGACTAATATATTAGATATTGAATTGAAATCTCTTCTATTTATAGAAGAATTGAAGCCGCTGCGAGGCTTTCAGGAAGCCGTTGAGAGGTTTTTCTTGAGCTGTTAAGCTGTCTGCATGAGCTGCTCGCAACTTAGTTGTTTAATAAAAAGCTGCTGCAAGTTATTTATTGAGTTGCTTGCAACCTGCCTGCATCAGCTGCTTGAAGATAAACTTCAATGTTGTACTAAATGGATAATCTTCAAGAAAATTATCTACATCGGAGTAATAAATGGACATACACAATAATATTTTCATAACACTTTTTCTATATATATTTATAAGTTAGAAGTTTGAATAGCTTAAGCACCAAGTTGGTGCTTGCCACTGACTAATTTGATCAGACAGCACTTTGAAGGCAGTGTTTGATGAGTCTATCAAGACCTCTAGATGAGTTAAAACTAGAGATAACAAGTATACGCAAGCAATGAGAATTTCTAAAATTTGGATCGGCATGTACACGTGGATCTTCTGATAAAATAATATTGACGTATTATAACAGTTAAACCTCAACACCTTTCATGGCAAAAAGCGTTCAACATTATTTTAGAAAGAAAAGTATAAAGCCAAAGTGGTTCCTTTATGAAAAGCATTTTATATTCAGTTGTCTATTCTACGTAACTTTTTAACTTGAAAACTGTAGGTAGCTTGTCCTTTAATAAATTCCCTCTGATTCAAACTGGTTCCAAACTCCTAACCAATATGCTTGTCTAGATTCTAATACAGTATTCCTTCAAACTAAAGTAGAAGAATATTCCTAACTCTTTCTTGGCAGCGTTCTTCATAAGCTATCACTATTAGATTAGCTGTGGCTACTACTAGTTCTTGAAACTGTTTTTTCCAATTTTCATCCTACTGGAAATAGGTAGTTAGCGCATCTTTTCATCGAGCTGGTTGAATGGCGGACTGGGGACCAGTGGTCATTGGGGTGGTACTCTTCATACTGCTGCAGCCGGGGCTTCTGTTTCAGATACCTGGAAATGGCCGATCTCTGGAGGTCGGGGGCATGAAGACCAATGGCAAGGCCATTGCTGTTCATACTCTTATTTTCTTTACTCTTTATGCTATCCTCGTTCTTGCTGTTCATGTTCATATCTATACTGGCTGAGTACTCACAACCTAAAGCTAAAGGTGTCGCGTCTTTACTTACCATTTTCATTGAAGCAATAACATCTGTTGAAGATCTGTATTTGATTTTCTTGAGAAAGAAGAAAGATTTTATGTTTCGTTTCTGTTACTGATTGTTTAATATAAAAGAATTCTTCCTTTTCCACTTTTAATTGGGATCTGAACTGCCTACTATTTCCCCTTGTTATCAAAATCTGATTACTAGTATAGTGGCAATCTCTCCACGAGACTTTGCTAAGGTTTCCGGCTTATGCAAGAAAAAGATGGATGCACAACAACAACAACAAAACTAGTATATCTCGTAAGTGGGGTCTCGAGCCTTACCGCTACCTTATACAGAGCCCGTTTTCAATAGACATTCGGGTCAAGGAAAAAGACGGATGCACTAGCTCTATGTTAAAAACATACACACGATAATTATTCCTTGTATTGACGAAATCAAAAGAACTTCTGCATTATGAACAACCTCAAATATACTCCAGTATGAGCATGTCTGATAGAGTGGCCAGAAGATTTGTTCATTTCATTTTCATGAATTCGATAAACATTAATGTCAAGCGCATTTATCAGAGTACTCTAGGAATGATGAAAAGTACAAAGATATATGAAACACAAGGAAGGTCTGTAGCTGCGTTGTTTTCACTTTCAACTATGGGATAATATACATGAAGTAGATGGAGGAAAGGTATCAACCAGATCGTATATGGACACCAACGGCGACTATCAAGATGGTGTATATACAGAAGTATAAGATAGCATGAACTAGGATGGCAATTCCGCTGGTGTACATGTTCCCAAACTCGATGACTCTCGTTCTTGCTGGCAGCTGGCATAGGAGTCCGGGTGACAATAAGATGAACATCACCACCGCCACCACCACTGGTCCCCAATCTACTACCATTTCTATTTTCTATCTCCTTCTCAATATTTTCTCTCTCAGAGTAGTTAGCCTTAGTTCTCTCTCTGGTAGTATTTAGTTCTGGTGTTTGCAAATGAGTAGCAAGAGATTTAAGGCAAATGTAGCGATTTTGCTTAGTGAAGAAGGAGAAGAGGTACTAAACTTGAGGGTGAAAAAGCAGGCAGTGTGAGGTATTGTGTGGTAGTGGAGATTTTGCTTTATGGAAGTTGACAGAAAATACTGACTTTGTGTATATGTTTTTCAATAATTGAACAATTTAAGGTTTCTTTTTACCTTTACTTTAAACATTTTATTTTCGTCAAAGTAGTACAGTCAAACCTCTCTATAACAGTCTCGTTTGTTCTGATATTTTTTGGCTGCTATAGTAAAATGCTGTTATAGAGTACATATAATATAACATAACATAATATAATAATGGGTTCCGAGTTAAACTTAGCTTTTATATAGTGAATGACTATTATATAGGAATGTTGTTATAGAGATCTGACTTGAGAAAAGAAGCAGGTGGTGTGGGTGGAAAGGCAGATAATGCTGAAGCTTAATAGGTTGTTGAATGCTTTATTTTTGGCTTACATATTCAAGATGAGCTAACAATGCACATTCATAAAAGGCTTTGATGATCAAATCAGATAAGAAAGTAAATAATCAAAGCTGTGGATAAGGCAAACCTACTTGAATGATGCAACTGCTTTGCTTTCTATTTGGTAATGCTTTTGCCTCTTTCACATTAATTTGTTGTTCATCTAATTCTCTTTTGATCATGCACAAAGCTAGTAGGGACACCAAATATGCAAATGTAATTGTCAAATTCATCCTACCTGGAGTAGCCATCGTCCGTGCAATCCAGAAGAGACAATAGCAGTGGTGCTGAAACTTCCTCCGCGAGTCACTGAAACTTCCCCACACTGCTCATCAGACAGTAGACAGACAAATAGACATGGCTGATTGGGGACCGGTGTTAATAGCAGTGGTGTTGTTTGTGCTGTTGACTCCTGGACTTCTGTTCCAACTTCCAGGAAACAGCAGGTCAATAGAGTTTGCCAATTTTCAGACAAGTGTAATCTCCATCTTCATCCATACTGTTCTCTACTTTGCCTTAGTATCTATGTTCCTTATCGCCGTTGGAGTCCACATTTACTTCGCCTGACGCCTAATATACTCCATCAACAGTTCCATCTTCTCCTAAAGGCAAGCTTCATCTCATTTGTTAGTTCTATCCTCCAACAACCACAAGGCTGTAGCCTGTAGGCTCTACATATAACCAGCTCTCTTAAGTATTTTCAAGTTTTCTACCTTCTTTTTTCTCATTCATTTTGAGTATCAAGCTTGGATTCTGTGTTCATTTCGTAGTAGGTTCCGAGTGAACTGAGATACTCTTAAATACTGTAACATATTCCTTTCAGTGCATATTACCACATCCACATCTAATGCAATTTGCTCAACTGGTTTGCGAAAACTTAACATTATCGTCAGCATGGTATATATACAAGCATCATATCTTACTGAAATCTCCGTAAAATTATGAATAATATCCATTCGAGATGCACTTGCTGCACTCACATTTAGTTCCAAATGATAACTGTCTTTTATTGTGCTAAGTACAGAACTTAAATATCCAATATTTAGTGTCATCTCACATATCATACCATGCAAAAAAGGAACTGCCTATCTGTCTGGATAGTAATTTTTGGATTAAGACGCTATAGTCAGATGTACCGATACTTGTGAGTAATTCTAATGATTTATTACATCACAAATAATAAGAATGACAAAGCCTAAGAGTAAGAGGTGCTGATCATCAAGACAAACACTTGAGGAACTTCAACACAAAATCATCAGGCCATCATTCACAAGACTAAAGATATAGTGAAGTTTACGTGGCGTGTGAATAGGCTGTCTTCTTGCCCACTCTTTTAACTGAAAAACTGATCATCTTTCAGACTCTGTATGTTCTTGCAGCTAGAGTTCTCAGCTGCACCTATGCAAACAGGCACAAAGCTGTAATCTTTTACTAGTTTTCCATTTCCCATACAGAATTTGAGCAACTGCAACAAGTCATTCTTCCACTATAACTACAACATATGAAAAAAGAATCCAATAAAGATGCCACGTTGCCAATATTCATACTGTTTAAGGAAATTTTGTAACATTAATACATCAAACTACATTACCAAATCTGCTGTCATGTGATGCTTCTCAATAATCAGCTTAATAAATCTAACTCAGCCACTATGACTACTATCAGTCTGTGCTACAATGTTGTAACTTTTTACTTGGGATCACTTTAGTCTTAAAATTTTTCTACAGAAGCAAGTGCCATTACTTAGAATATATATACCATATTGTATTAAGAAACCTCATTGGAGAAATTCAAATGAATCGTCATCTCAAATGTATTAACCCCTCTTTTGGAGATGAATAAAATGCCTTCTTTTTGCTTAAATAAATAAAAAAATGAATCGTCATCAACAACTCAGGGACTATCAACATTTGTCACGCGAATTTTTGGGCTTAATTATGTGGTGATTAGCAAATGAAGCCCCCAATGGTATCGTTAAAATAGCACGGTCTAGCCAGTTTTCTGGTCATTTAAAAATAGCTAGCGTTTACCAAGTCAATGAAAAATAACCACTATTTTGCTGCAACAGAGACCGGTCCAGTGTAATATACTAGAGTTCGGTGCACCTATACTTTGCTGGCTCCAGTGCTCCAAACTCCAGTATATTATGCTGGAGTATTTTTTCGAATTTTGACCAGTGTTTTCGTTCAGATTTATCTTTACATGAAAAGTGGCTAAATTTCGATTATGTTTGAAACTCACCACTTATAAATCTGATTATTTTTAACGGAAAATGAAAAAAAATATTTTTTTCATAAAAACTAAATTGTTTTTTGTAAAAACTGGAAAAAAATAAGAAGACTTTACTAAATTAGTGGATTATTGGTGCATTAGTTTAAAAAAACGAAAATATTTTGCAAAATATTTTTTTAAGTTTTACAAAAAGAATAATTATTATTTTAATTTAGTATTGACCTAACAGTCAAATGGCATAAGTGAACCAAAAAAGTGGATGGAGGGATATTTTTAGTCCAATAGATGGATGAATGATCTTTTTAAACCTTTTCCAATAGTTTAGAGGCATTTTGAACCCTTTCCCGTATTTTTAAATTTCTTTAGATGGTATCGTGATAGGTGAACGAGCATTCATTCTTCCTAATTAATCATGTAATTTATAGAATTTAAGCTTAAATATTGAAGAACTAAGGCTTGTAATTGGGTATCTAAAATTAGGGATTTGAGGGGTCATTTGTGATTGAATTTTGGTGTTTTTGATACGAATGAACTCGAGTTTTTGTTGCTACTTGGTGTCATTTCTACGGCGGTACCACTAGGTGGTATGTGGGCTTCACCCTGCAGCCCAATCTCTCCTTGTCAGTTTTTCAGTGGGCCTGGGCCTAATTCGAACTACCCAGGCCCAGTTAACAAAATCCCTTTTTCAATTCAGCGACTTGACAAATTTCGTCTTCTCCAAGTAACCCTTCCTCCTGTTCTATACAGCCAAAAACCCTATAGATCGAATATTAGCATCATTATCATCATATTCCCTAGATTAAGAGCTCTGAGACTGAAATACTCTATCCTTCAATGGCGTTAACGAACTTTATACTAACGGTGGTCGGAGTGAGCGCGGCGATATTATTGCTGAGGAGCGATGTCAAACAGTCTGCTTCCATCTTCAAGCGTAACGTTCGTCAAATTCGCCATTGGCTCGAGGAAGAGTCTTCCTCCGCCGCCAAGTATGCCCTTCCACTTCCCTTTTCCCTTCAATATTTTTTGCTTATCGAAAGTCCTGTGCTGTAATTCTCATCGATTGATAAAAACGAGACCTTTATACAATGGAATCGCAAAGAATCAGTTTACATTCCCGTAACTAACTTTGATTCCCAGTAAACAAATTTCCTTCCAAATTGAATCAACCGCTAACTAACTGCTTTAACTACCTAATGCTGACGTGGCATCTTCGAGCTTCTTCTCCAGCTGCTCTATCTTTTATTACTCCTTGATCCTTCTCTTGCAAATACCACTGCAGCTAGACTGTGCTGGAATTGGGCTCAACTTAGCTACATTGAGCTGATTCAGTAACTCCTCTAGAGATAGAGCCAGTGTTTGAAGTGTATGAGTTCTGAATTTGCCACGGAACCCATAGCTCGTCTTAGTTTCTTGGTCCGCAATTAAATATTTTTACATATTTGATGGATTTCTAAGTACAAATATAGTGTTTAAGCAAAAGTGATTGGGTTCAGCCGAACCCGCACCCAATGGGCTAGCTTCACCTCTGCCTCCTGCATCATTATCCCTCCCTTGCTGGCCCATTGGCATCATCACACTATGCAATATACTGGTAGCTTGAAAACAGTTATTACGAAACTAATTTGCAAATTTGTGTTTTTGGAGACGTACAAATAAAGTATCCATGTAATGAACGGACTGAAGTTCTGTCAATGAAGCACGTAAATAATGCCAAAAGTCTATAACCACCGCTTATTCGATGTATGTAACACACTACTCCTACATGTTATGTCTCTTAATCTGTATCGTTCTTTCCAACTAAGAAAAAAGTGCATTTTTTTTCTTTTGTTCCTGGGCAAAATAATAACTTTTGGGTTTTTTAATAGGTTATCTAGATGCCAGTGGTATTGAATGTTCTTGGTGATTTCAAAAGCAACAGTTTGCTTCTGAAGTTTGTTTTGTTTCTCGCTTGGTAAAGTCTAAAGAGTAATATAAAAATTAGAGTTCTAGGCAAGTCAAGTCAAGTAAACTTCAGGTGGTTTTTCTTTTGGGCAGCCCCTTATAGTTTTTGTTATCGAGATATCTTCTCTTTTTACATTGTTCCCGAGGATGTTTTGGGGAATCTGCTCCTGTGCTGCAAAGACTGGCAGTCTGGCATTACAGTTTCAGTTGAGGCTCATGCTTTTATAGTCAATTTTTTAATATGTAATTTATGATGAATAATATTTGAAGTTTATCATTTAATTGTAGGTTTAGGATCTTTAGCTTTGGCTTTATCAAAATAAAGATAGCTAGCTTTGTTTCCTTTCCCTTCTCGTTCCTTAGTTTTCTCTGAACAAGGGACATCCATCCACGTCAGATTTTAAATTGGTTTCTCATTGTAGCTTCTTCTGTTAGCTTTTTGATTTTGAAATCCTGTAGCTGTAGTGTATATATCGTTGTCATGATGTTATGAAATTCCATTGATGTTTCTATAGGGAATTGGAGAAGGCAAAACCAAAGGAGATACCTCACAAAGACATTCCTAAGGAGGATAAGCATTAGACGAATCTCAGGAATCTTTATAATGAAATAGAGAGGGCAGAACCAAAGGAGATACCTAGAAGACATTCACTAGCAGAACAAGAATGAGACATGCCTCAGGAATCTTGATAGTTTCATAATTTGCATTTTCTCACCTGTGCTTTACCTTCTATTCTGTATAAAATTCTTCATAGTTTGATTTCTGATAGTGGATTATTATTCTATTTTCTTAGCTACTCAACTGCTTGGTACATGTGTCCCTATGAATATCAATATGTTCACTTAATTTTAGCTGTTTGTTGGAAGTCATCGTTTAACATAACTTGCTGCACTTGCTAGACTGCTTAGGATTTTGATGTAATCAAGTCCAGACTTATCTTTGTACTGTCACAGTATCAGCTTGATACTGTTTCCAATAAAACCTCACCTTATAAAAAAAAAATAGATCCTTGGCATAAGCTCATGAAATTTGAATAAATAGGCTGGATATGGTCGTTAATGCACTTATGGTGAGAAATGATCATTTATTTCACGTTCTGTATTGATTCATAAAGGAAATTCTTCATTTTACTATTGCCCAGAGATATAACTGATGCAAAACCATGTCAGGGAGATGAATATTTGAAGGATAGTGAACTCTGCTTTACTCTTTTATTCAGGAATCATGAGCTTTTATGAATTGTAGTTGTGGACGACAAATGTGGAGTAAATTGACATGTTAAGATCTGAAATTTATCCTTCACAAAAGAAAAGCAAATGCAATTGCAAAAATTGTTGAGTTTGTAGGTGGTCATATCTAATTTGTCATTAGAGCTCAGCACAACTCCTTAATGATTAAAACTTTTGAACCAGTTACATTAAATGCATAAGCACAATGAACTCAACTCTTGCACGGTGATTTACTTAAAATAGCACTTATGGTAGCAATTTCAAGTCTACCGCATACCCATTGAAACTAGTTAGTGGCCTTGTCATGTTTGACATCCTTTATTTGATCGGCTTGTTGGAATAGATAGATGACCTGTTTATTCACTATGACAAGCTTAGTATGCTTGTTAGTTACTCTAGAATGACTCTGTCCGGGAAACCTATTTTTCAACCTCTGATAGCTGCAGATATCAAGTTCTCTCTGGCTATCGTATTGGTGGCACTGGGGGACTCATTACCTTGTTCTAAAAGCTGTCTTACTCTGGATGCCAAGCTAGGTCAACCAAGTGCATGTTATTATATTCGGACTGAATTCGAATTACATGTGCTGCGCTGAGTTGCCAAAGTAGAGAGTAAAGCTAGTAAGGTGTTAACAGGAGAATACTATCATCCCTGTTGAGCAAGGCACACTTGAATACTATCATCCCTGTTGGTTCATCATTGTGAGGTTGGGAAATGCATTGATGTCTTTATGACTAACTGACTATCAGGCAGAACTAAAAGGAATGAGATTTGCATTCATTCGTTCATGATAATGACGAGATCTGAAGATGTATTTTGTTCTACAGTAACACAAACATGATTCTCTTTTCGATTGGACAAGGCCAGGAAAGGTAACATGTGGTATGAATGTTGCATGTTGTTGTGGACCATCAAAATGCAGAGCAATTTTCACCTACCCAGAAACCAAGAGTGAAACTATTTGAAGAGCAAACAGAACAGCAAAGAAAGCTAAACTTTAAGGAAAGTAGTAGTCATATTCTACATGTAGAAATTGTTTTTTATGTCACTCGTAATGCAACAGGGATACTGATTTGTACAAGACTGCCTATCCCAGAGAAAACTGCTGTGCTGGTATAGAATAGCAACCAATTATAAGCATAAAGATACACACAAACGGACGAAGCTTCAGGTAACACATTTAAATTACACACTGCTTTGCTGCATGTGAATGACATTGTTTCTGCAGATCATATTGAATAAAGCAGTTCCCAAATAGTCGGCTAGTGAATCACAAGATTGCATGCATGTGAATGTCACTGTTGCTACAATAAAATTGTATAGTAATAATAGAACTGTAATCATTAATATCTTTGCTTACATTTTCACTCATGTGCCTAAAGTTACAAAAAGCTAGTGGTGGCCCATATTCCTTCTCATAGATGATACAGAATGTGTTCAACTCTATCATTAAGTTTCTAAACAGGGAATTTGGAAAGACTAAATTCATTGTTGAAACTGATTGTATTCTGTTGGGCGCTTTCAAAAAATTTCTCGTCTGCTGCTATGTGTTCCTAATGATCCATCTTCATGCTTCATATTTTTTTTTATAAGGCGAGATTTTATTGAAAATAGTATCAACCTGATTATGTCAAGATTCATGCTTCATGATTTGTATTCAGTATTTAATGTCTGCTTGTGAAAATGGACAGTCCATGTACCTTGTATTTTTATTGTGTCAAGTTTGGTTCTTCCTCGTACAGCTACATATATGGTGCAAGGATAGTAGTTTCTAGTGGATTAATATTGGAGAACAAAAAAAGGGGCAGTACTTAAATAGGATGCTAACCATTTAATAGTCAGGACTTATTATATAATCCTTGATTCCTTATCAAAAAAAAAATATATATATATATATTCCTTGATCAATTTTCTCAAGTGATGAATGAGATGTGACTGTGTGAGTACAACTATGAAGCCTCTTTTGCGTGCTCTCATCTTTATTCAGCTTTACTGATGCTCATTCTGTGCGGAAGTTACAAAGTTAGCCTTAGAAATGTAGCTCCTATGGTAATTAGGAAATACATCTTTTTAGTGGTTAAGTAAACTATATATTTTCATTTTAGTGGTTCAAGTGACTTGACAAAGTCCATGACAGCCTTCTTGTGAAAGTTCAAGGGGTATGCCTTCCGGACTTGATCTAACTATATAAAAGTATTCATATTTACTGGTGGTAGAATGATATATCTGCTGCACTACAGTTTTAATCATAACAATCAAAGTTTTAACTTTAACACAGATAATCAATGGGGATCTTCACGTATCATTGGAAATGTTCCGTGATAGTGAAAACATCAGAGCATGAGAATACTTTCTCAACAATTCTTAGCACATCAACAATAGATCAAACTTGATGATAACAACCCATTTCTCACACAACTTAGCAACACACGTAGAGCGAAGGAGAGATTCATTTATTTTGTTCACAATTGACAGCTCAATACTGCACGCATATTGTGCTCCTGGAGTAGAAATGCAGAGGATCGGCATTACATTCTTTTTTCTAAATTTTCCCATCTAGAGCTCCAGCACCAAATCTACATTACACAATGAGGAAAAAGAGTCAGATAATAGTCTATTTGTGTGTTTACTTGACAAGAAGTCATGAATTTTAGCGTAAGCTGTTTACTTACAGTCAGCATCTGTTTTAATCCAATGCTCCCTGTTTACTGCTGACACATCATATTCCATGTCACTTGGATATACTTCCGAAGCATGTAATATCTTAGTGGGAACAGAAGCGTTAGAAAACATTTTGTTCAGTTCACCATTTGCTCCCAGTTTACCAGCTTCGCAGGAAATCTTTCTGATCTCATCCTTTAGTGGCTTGTTCTTATCTGTTAATCCCTCAGCTGGATGAACTTTCCTTTTTAACATTTTTAGGACCTGTACATTATAGATGAATAGCTTAGGTATTTGGTGATATATGCTGATGATTTAACTCATTGTTTGGAGTACTTTCAAAATATCTTGTTCTTAAGCACATGGGAAGTCAACTAAAATGTGTGACAGTTAGGTATCCAGCAGTCAGGTTATTTTTGACATTTTTCATGCTGATGATTTAAAATAGAACCACGTTTTCAAGAATTTCTTTGTGGGGAGCCTTTTCCAATGCCTAAAGTGGCTTGAGAACATATTAGGCCTTCAAAGGAGAAGTCTTTTTCATGGACAAGAATCTATTGTCTGCACTGTCTTAATCAGTGAATTCATGTTTGTCCTGCCATTTCTGGAAGCCTGCCAAATTAATCTATCTTAGTTTAACCATTATCTTGTAATCTTCTCAATTTTGGTATCTAGCTAGTCACCTTTGATTATAAATAATATGAGCAAGCCTTTCAAATGAAGTAGTAAATATTTAAGAGTTAATCTTTGATAGGTCGAGATAGTACCAACCTGAGGGAGTTTCCTCTTTCTTGAGACATATTCATTGACATCTCCAGAAGAAGGATCTGTAGAGCTCTTTGACTTGGAGTGGAGATTCTTCAGCATTTTCTTCATAAAATGCATTGCACGTCTTCCCTTGGTTTGTTTCTTCTCTTTTCCATCTTTTCCTATATGATGCTCTCCCGCTATGTTGTTCCTCTTAATAAGGAGCTCTCCTTTTGGTTTCTTTCCCTCAACTTCTGTCTCTGAAAGTTCAACTGAAGAGCCAAATAGATATTTCTGGAGTGGGAATTGAACAGAATTACCATAGGTTTCTGGTAATTCAACCTCCTCAATTAATTGTTTTCCGCCACTGAGTGTAATAATGCTTGCATGGCTGCTTCTCTCTGATGATTCATGAGCAACTTCAGCTTCTACAAACTTCTCTAGCTCATCATTTATACGCTTCAATTCATTCTCTTTTATGTCTAGCTTTACTTCACCATGAATTACATGCTCAAGATGCATAGGAAATGTAGGAGTTGGAGGGTCACTTTTTATTGTTTGAGAACCAAGAGTACCAATTGAAAGAAAGCCATGAAAAAGTTTTTCCAAAGCCATTTCTGTTTCGGTGCTTTTAACTTCCTTGCAAGCAGGTTGCTTTGAGATTGTGAAGCTGTAGTTTGCTTCTCCATAGTATTCTTGTTCTTCAAATAATGTGCCAGCTGAGAAGGAAGTAGCAGAGTTTTCTGAAAATAATGATGATCATAATAGTGAGAAAAATAAGATAATATGTAACAATTGAAAGGAAATGGATAGTGTAAAAGAGTTCATTCCAAATGGAAAGAACTGAAAGCAGATATATGCAGTGTGAAATAATTACATACCTAGTATGATATTCTTTGCGGACTCATTGCTGTTTTGCTTTGCTTTACGGTGCATCCAACCTAGTAACTGCAACATAGATGAAGTTAGGAAGTTTGATTTGATTGAGCATATATATATATATATGAAACTTTAATTTTGGACTCACCTTCATTTTGAACTATCTGGAGAAGTGCAGATGAAACCGGGTGGCTCGTTGGAGAGTTTTTGGAGAAACCTGTGTTAGAAGAAAGATATTTACTTGGTAGTTGGAGGAAGAAATTCAAGACTAGATAAAGGAAAATTTTAGGAGGAAGAATAAAGCAATGTTTCATCATTATTTCCTCCTGGATAGTAAGCCAGCATCTGTAGCAAGAGAAAGTACATCGAGAAAATTACAAGATAATGGTTGGCTATTTTCTTGTCAATATTGCATTGATTAGACAAGTTGAGATCAAGTGGTTTTGACACCCACAGGTCGAAGGTGCTAGAGTGTGATATGGGCACACGTGTGTGCTAGTTTGCACTATATCGTTGCATATAGATTCCTAATACATATGTCTGTCATGTTGGCCTGGCATCTGATAATTTCCAGAACAGAATGCATGAGTAATTGAGTATTGTCTAACTTTACTTGCATTCTTATTAATGGGCTTGACTACATGGAATCATAAGACACATCCTACTAACCACCCTAAGAGAAGCGGCGAAGAAATGCCTGAGGTTCGTTGCAGTATTGGGTAGCCCGGTGCACAAGGTATCCCGCGTTCACGCAAGGTTCGGAGAAAGGTCGCATCTTAAAGTGTGTGATATAGACAACATACCCTAATGCAAGCATTAGTAGCTGTTTCCACGGGTCGAACCAGTGACCTATAGGTCATATGGAGACAACTTTAGCGTTATTCCAAGTATCCCTTCAGGTTCGTTACAGTATTGAGTGGTGAAATATATCTGTGTTGCCTTCTGAATTGGCTTCCGAAAGTGTACGTTTAATATTTGATTATTGCAATTGCGAGTGATCACAGTTTTTATCATATGCCGAGGGCTCATTGAGAAGGCTGCATGTCACTCTGTTGATTATAGATTAAAGTGAAAATTTTGGTTTAGTTTGAACTGTTGATGTAACATTTTATTTGCCTTCGCTAAAAGGGTTTTAGTTGTTAAATACAGTTTTTATCATCTTGTCAAAATTAATAACTAAAATTTGAAAAAGTGCTTAAACAGCTAGAGTGGTGCTTCAACCTTCTTCTAGTTTATTTTATCACTGAAACCCATCTAATTGTTGCTATGTAAACAACCCCTTTCTGCCATTCCATGTGCTACTTGTGTATATTGATAGCAGTAAATTTTAGTACTAAGTACTCCCTCCATTTCATTTTCTGTAAAGCCTGACTGATGAGTTTAAGCAAGAAAGTAAGATTTTTTGAACTTCTAATCTAAACATGTTATGGTATTTGTTGTGGAAAACAATAATTTAAAGTTAAAGTGTCTTCCTATTTGAACAGTAGAATGTTAATAATCAAATGTACGATTTTCTCTCTACCTCTCCAGTTAGGGATAAGGTTTGCATACATACTACCCTCCCCAGACTCTACTCGTGGGATTATACTGGTATATTGTTGAAAATGTACGATTAATGGTGATTGCCAAATGCTTAAAGCACATTATTAGGCACACATAGGGCTGGCAAAATGGTTAAAAAAACCCAGTTAACCACCCATATTATCCACTAAAAAATGAGTTGAATAATGAACTTTTTAAAAACGGGTCAAATATGGATAAGAACCATATTATTCATTTAGAAAATGGATAACCAATTGATAACTAATGGGTTTAACTTTTACACTTGTAAAACCTGAAATTGGAGATTCCTCAAGTTATGAATTCTCTCAAAAGTGATCATATTCAAGAAGTCATGGATAATATGGTTGCCCATATTATCTACCGGTTAACCCATATTTTATCCGTACCAAATATGGGTTGGGTCGGATAATTTATCCGTTTTTTCATCACCCATTTTCGACCCGTCCCATATCTGACCTGACCCACCCGTTTGCCACCCTTAGCCACACCCAAATATGTATGTATGTATGTATGTATGTATGTATGTATGTATGTATATATGTATGTATGTATATTTGTTTTACATATCGTGACTCATAAAGTGGTTTTATGAAATTCTGTTGCTTGCGTTTGGACTATTATGCGTAATCAGATATGGAGAAGAAGAAAAATACGTAATGTTTAGGGTGGTTAAGATGTTGTTTAATCATGTCTAGAGCTACTTTGATTATATATCGTTAGCATTTAACATTATTGGATTGTTTTAATTGCTAGACTTATTGAGAAGAGAGGATATGAGTGTAATCAAAAGGATTATAAGAGATGTTAATTTAACGTGTAACATCATTCTTCCTCATCAGCCGACAAACAGTGAAGAACCAGGCCGAAAAAAGCAACTCCTGAGTTTTGTCAAATAAAGCTATTTCCATGCTGTGGGAGTCAATAATTCTAACTATAATAATTGGTGAAACAACGTAACGTTGGGCCAAAGCAGTCAAGACAACAGAGGTGGGCGATGGGGCCATGTGAGGAAACAACGTGGAATCCAGTTGAGGGAAGGATTCTACTTTCAGCTAAAGTGCGAGGCGCTAAACAACATGAGAATTCCCTTCTTTAGGTCGAAAGGAAGAAGAGAGCTCCGAGCATGAAAACGAAACATAAAAGACAGTTGTTGCATTCTATAGGGAAAAGTGTTTGATCAAAGTACCTAGCGGAAGTGGCAAGTTGGTATGTGAACATTGCAATCTTCTTAAGTACTACAAATGACACTGCACCCACCAGAAGCGAAGCCAGGATTTCAAGTTTATGGGTTCAGAATTCTAATCGTTTTAAGTTACTCGGTTCTAAATTAATAATTTATACATATTCAATACATTTTTTTAAGACACATACAGAGTTCGAAACAAAGCTACTGGATTCGACCAAACCCGCTCCCGTCACTTTAGTTCCGCCCCTGGCACCCACTGTTTATCAGTACGGATGCAACGACCATAGTCAAGGGGTGGACCTATGTATTGAGCAGAGGGGTCATTCAGGGGCGGAGCTAGAGTGCCGGAAGCGGGTTCGGTCGAATCCAGTAGTTTTGTTTCGAACTCTGTATTTGTCTTAAAAATGTATTGAATATGTATAAATTATTAATTTAGAACCGAGTAACTTAAAACGATTAGAATTCTGAATCCATAAACTTGAAATCCTGGCTTCGCCTCTAGGGTCATTAGACCTTGTTAACCTCGGCAAATTTTTTGAATATATATATGTTAAAAACGATCATATAGTTTGCTTGAAACCCTAAATATCAAAAGTCAAATTAGGGCATTGGTTGAGCAATCCGCTCATGTGCCCAGCTGTATTGGGAAAAATCAAGTTAACATTTGGAATTAATTATGTGCTGACATGTCAAGACATGTGGATCAATGAAAAAATGACAACTAGCAAAGAGTATTCAAAGAGAGACGAGCCTTAATAGATACGGGCAAAAATACAAGAAAACAAGAAGGAACAGTTACTCGAATCTCTTGGGAATTTGAAAAGACATCGGAGGAATGAACCTAGATAGCAAAATGTACAAATACGTATTATCTGTTATTAATGACCAGATAGCACTTGCGTGTTTACACGCAAAAAAGCGTGTGACGCCCGATAAAAAATCCCATTTTTTGTCTCCCCTCCGCCTCCCTCTGGTCTTCTTCCTCACCACCCTCCCCCTCATTTTTCCCCAAATAGAATTTTTGAAAGAACATATCAATTTTAGATCTAAAATTGAGAGGATTTTGTTGGTTTATTGTCCAAATATTGTGAAAACTATTTATTTTTGATAAATTTGAAAAGCTTTAACAGTAGTATTGAAGGTTTGGTAAAAAAATCTAGAATCCACCATTGTTGGGGTATCGAAAAAAGCTTGAAAATTCAATTGGGTCTTGTTGATTATTGGGTTATTGAACTCAATTTGTTGCTCGATTATTTCCGGCTAGTTGTTTAGATAGTATGGTTGAATTTTGGTCATGGTACTTGAGATAGAAAATGAAAAGATGAAGAAGATGGGTTTTAATTATATTTTCTAATTTTTTTTTCCCTTTTTAAAGTCAATGGCACGTGTCACGACCCTAGTAGGGCCTGACTTTCCGGTTATCTAAAAAGTTGGTCAAGCACAAAAGTGGTGTGTCTTAGATACACTTTTAAAAGGTTAGTGTGTAAAAAGTTTCCCGTGAAAGAAAGGTGTGTAATAGGTATATCGCTGCATGGTTGATGGGTAAACTATGTATTTTGTCTATCTAAAATAATCTCATTTTCTTCTTGAAGAATATGAATCTAGCTGCAACACCATTTACAAAATTTAACTTTAAGGTCAAGAGCCTGTTTTCCATTCATATTCATATGTAGGAAGTCACAAGAGAAGATAAAGAAAGATATCTGCAACTGGAATATCATTTGGCAGCCAATTTTATCTGCAACTAATTGCAGGGATATAATTTTTTTCACTCCACTGATATACTTGTGTACACCCATCCCTGAGCTTAGAGAAAACAAATTTTGTACACTCTCTGTACTAAAGGAAGAAATTGTGGCCGATTACATCACAAATAAAATCTATAATGTAATCTTTAAAGTAACTCCATATCATTCGATGAATGATCAACGTAACTTGTGTAGAGGTTCTCCTTTATGTGTTGGAAGGAAATACTTCCAGATTAGTTGTCCTTAAACTGTATAATTTTCTTGTAGATTTTGACAGGTTTTTGTAAGTTAGAAATGTCTTGTTCTTTGTTCAGTTATTCAGGTCTTCAATCGGTGTGTTGTTGCACAACTAATATTGTGGAAATACTTTCAGAATCTGCTAAAGCAAACATGTCTCCTACTGGCCCTAACTCAGACTCTTCAACCCAGTCAGAAAGCCCAAGTAGTAATGGAGATTGTGTGTCATGTCGTCTTCCAACAATGATTAGTTCGTATTCATCCTCCATTGATCGCATAACAGCAGCTGTCCCTGTTCCATCCCGGATCATCTTTTCTACATACTTGACCCGATAATTTCCTGCCATACCACTCCTTGCTTCACTTACCATTTCATTATCCAGAGTCTTCTGTATTGTGTCATAATCAGTCGTTGCTATTTTACCGCCTTCCTCTTGCTTAAGGAGTAATCGGACTATTGTGAGGCTGATGTTTCTTTTTCCAGCCATGCGTTCTCCCAGGGCGAGTGCTTCCCTATCATCTGGTCCTCCCAAGAAAAGGACAGCAACACGATACGAAGACCAAGCATCTAGTATGGGCCTTGAGGTGTTGACAAGTGACCGGTCTACAACTACTGCAACGGAACAAGGTGCTGTCTGCAGGATTTTTTCATTCATAATTTTAATACCTACCTTGGATACTGTCTTCCTGCTGGAACTAAACCTTTTGTGGAAAGGAATCATTATGAGAGATGCCCTCCTTTCAAGTGCCATATTGCAGACTTCGTCATGCATCATAACATAAGGAGATATAGCCGTAAAGGGATGCATGGCTACTGTCTCGCGGAAGTTCTGCTCAAACACTTTGAAGGCATTGATGATTCTTTTCGAAGCTGAGGCCTCGTTTATGTGCTTCATCATTGGGAGTTTGTGGTTTATGAGAAGCGGATGAGCACGACCAACAAGCTCTATTAAATGTAGCATGGCAATATCCATACGGCTTTGGTTTGAGGGGTGAAGTGCTTCCAGCAAGTTTATTGTAGCCGGGACATTTTCTTGATCATGTATACATGCAAGCACCCGAAGTTCAGAGTACACCTTCATATGCTGGATATTCCTATTTTTGTGTGCTGCATATCTTTTATGTGGATCATACAGGGATTTCAGTATTGGAGTAACGATGGCAGTTGCAATGAACAGGTTTATGCACAAGACAACAAAAGCTTCATCTGCTATTGCCTGTATTCGACGAAAACCAATTCGCACGTATACATCAAAATATGAATTCATGCATGAGCGAGTCAAATATAGTACTATGTTGGGTCGTTTGATACATGGGATAAGGATAATAATCCCAGGATAAAGTTTGGGAT